TGCCTCAGTACTCTAATCCTATATTACCAGCAATGTGCCGAAGTGTAGGTGTGAAAAGTTTGATCCAAATCTGTTTAATGAAAAAATTTGGAACATACAAACCTAACATATATAGATAGTAATCATTCTCTAAGAAAAAGTGCAGGTGTTTATTCATGCGAAAACTTTTTGCACAGATTTCTGAAGTAATAGTTTGCTTTGAATATACAAAGAGAATCTCTGGTTACAAAGGTATGGCCAAAACTGTTGTGTGCCACCACGGCTGACACTTTATCTTCTGGCAGCATTTCTTGCAAAGCCAGAGAGAAGAAAGAAGAACAGCTGGCATAATACGCAAAATTGCTTTTAAGTATACAAAATTACGTTGAAGTATCTCTAATGTAACGACTTAGCCGATCGACTGGCACACTGTAGCGCCGTCGCTGTGACGAAATCGCATGAGGTATGCCCACTTTAGGGATTGCACTATAGAATCATCAAAGTATCTCACAAGTCACAGCAATCTTTGCAATCATTCTAACCTTTTCTTAACATTGGCCGTCCTAATGTAAGATTACGATAACTCACTTCGTGAGCTCAACACAGTATGGAACAAAATCTGCATTATATTCAAAACTGATGCGCCGTAGACTCAAAAACATATTCAGGATTTCTTTATCATATTTTAGTGCCAGTACACTCAAAACACAAGATCTTTCTACACGTGAACCTCCACCAAAACAGTTGAGCTTAATGCTTTAGGCATTACCGTACATATTCGAAGACCAAGAGAATCTTATAGAAAAGTTAAGAATAAATAGCTCGTAAATGTTATGTACAGTTAGACTTACTACAACTTTGCATCACATTTATCTGCAGCTTTCCATCAATCAGTTGAAAATTTTTGATTAGCATGTGAATCATACCAATTTACAACTCACTCTTAGTACGCTATAACGAACAAAACCATTTACTTACAATCAGCAGAGTGTTCCATGAGTGATTCGCTCACAGATCAACAGAAAGGCCCTAGATTAAGAGCCATAAAAACGTTGTTGGGGAACCAAATTAGCTTACTTTATTCCTAAACTCGAGTTAATGGGAAGGGGTGGGAAAAAATACCCAGCGTTGATATACTGCGCCGCAATTTTTCATTCCATTCTATTTACTAATCCGATACCATGTACTCCGGAAATCAGGTTGCTTTATATCAAATTTGATCAGTTGCTAAAGTCGACGACTTTTCATGCAACAATCTTACTAACGACAAGATCAGGAAAATTTTCGCACAATACTTCTGTTCTCTGGTGATTACCGCAGCTTTTCTTGGACTAGAAAGTAAAATAAATCTGAATGAGGAAAACCAAATGCACTCGGCGCATTATAACCATACTCTTCGCCAAGAAAGCAAATGTGTAAAGGCTGTGAAACGGAGACCAATTGATTTCTTTTAAAAATCTCTTCGTTCCAAACATCAACAAAGTATGATTTACAGAATAAATTATAGTGCATAATGCGACCGGGAAAAGAGCAACGATATTGACCTGATTACGTGACACAGTAATTTG